TGATGCGTTCCGGGCCGGTTTTGGTAAAAAAAAAAAATTAACATGGGCTTTCAGGCACTTGCATGCGTTTTTGATGTGTTCCAGAGCAGGTAAAATAGGGCTTGCCGCAGTTTTTTCACCTGCTCTGGATCTGGTCTGGATCTGCACGCTGCGATGTGAACTGGAGCTCAAAATACCATAGGAATACATTGGACGCAGTTTTGATCTGGTCTGCACCTGCTCTGGATCTGTTCCGCGCTTGGTGTGAACAAGGCCTAAGGCTCTGTTCACACCTAGGCGTATTGAATATGCGATTCGCGGTAAAAAAACGTGCGACAAACGTGCGTTTCCGAGGGCTACTTGGCTGTATCCCAATGGAAACACGCGACAGAAACGCCGCAAAGAAGCTCATGTACCTTTTCAGGCGCAGGCCGTTTTGTAGCGCGTTCAGACGGGCTGAAATACGGCAAGGTGTGAACCATACCCATAGAAAACAATGGGATTTTCATGTTTGAGCGTTTTGTAGAGCGTTGAACGCGCTACAAAACGTACAGGTGTGAACCAGGCCTAACAAAAGCTTGATTCTGAAATGCCCAAAAAGTACCAAGTGACCTAACAGAGTGAGCAGAAAACAGGAAAAGGAGGAACTTTATCCCGCAACTCATTTACTTGGATGACCACTTGACGAATCCACTTAGAAATAGTGGATCTAGAAGCTGAAGAACCTCTTCTAGGACCTTCGGGTAGAACACATAAAAAATCCAAATGTCTAAAGGGAGCTGTGGCTACAAATAAACTCTAACAGCCCCCACAACATCCACACAATGAATATACATGGCCTTATTAAGGAGCTGGACAAAGTGAAGGTAAAACAATGTCTTCATTATAAATGAAGGCCTGAAACCACCTTGGGTAAGGAGGAAACCTGCGGTCTCAAAACAAGCTTGTCCTTATGAAGAACCAAATAGACTTCTCCACAAAACAAAGCAGACAACTCGAAAACCCTTCTAGCCGAGGAAATGGAAACCTTTTTGGACGACAACGATAAAGAAATATCTCCATAGGTTCAAAAGGAGATTGTGTGGAACAGATAAAACCATGTTCAAGTCCCATGGAGGAACGGGAGGCGATCTAAAAGAAAATAGTAAGTCCCTCTGCACTCCTCACAGCGCTCCGGCCCAAGTACTTGTAGTGGTGCTCGCAGTGACAATCACGGATGGCGCAGTGCAACAAACAGTGGAAAGCAGAAATCACCAGCAAACAGTAAATATTTGATGTCCATTTAATCGGACCAATCGTCAATTGTCATGTGCAAGATTGCGACGTTTCGGGAACGCACAGGATCCCTTCATCAGGGCGACAATGTAACATAATACATTGTCTTTCAATAACTGGGGTTCAATAGCCGGGCTGTTAAAGCCAGCGACGGAGAAGCAGGGTAGAAGATTGGGCCCCGAGATAATAGATCTGGAAGAAGTCAGGGATCGTCAGCCAACAGAGGAACCAAATCGGCACACCACACCCTGCGAAGCCAATCCGAAACGAAGAGAGTGACTGAAATTCCTTTGTGTTCGATCCTGGAGGAAGACTAAAATATATTCTGAAATCTGAGTTTGCCCGTCTCCGCAAATTCCATTTGACATCCCCCATCCAGATATAGATAAGGTGGCAGCAGACCTTCATGCTAAGGCAGACCTTTGAATTGCCAAGGACATCTAGGGGGTCCAAAGGTTTGGAAGTGTGAGATGTCCTTTGACACTGGGAACTAAAGAAACATATAAAAAGACAGAAAAGATGGAGCAGGCTTACTACACTGATCCCTATTATTTTTCCACATGTGAGGTAAGCGTTCACTTTTACCTCCTGTAGTTTTTTAAATAATCTAATCCAAGGCAATCCAATCTAGTCTAGTCAATGGACGCACACAGCTACTGCGGGCACGGCCGGGAACACTCATGCATTAGTGCCTTCACAGCAGCTGATGGCACCACCCATGCAGGGGGCGGGAGGGAGAGCGATGCGGGGACCCGCTAGAAAACGAGGAACTGAAGTATGTAAAAAGAAAAAACAAACAACCAAAGTTCTGCATAAATGCAGTCTCACAGTGATAAAAATAAAGGTTTAATATCACTTTAAATAAAATCAGTCAAAATCCAACATAAAAGCATTTAGGCAAAAAGGAGTCTACAGGCACACAGCCAAAATAAAATAAAGAGGAGAGAAAACACCCAACATGATAAACATGAGGTAAATACATTTTTACCCATGACTCCATGGCCCTGTCCCTGACATAACCGGAATCCCCAGATAATACTGGCCTGACACCAAATTCATGAAGAGATGACCACGGGAACTCCGGAGCACCATGCGGGCCAAACATAACTACTGAGATGAGAAACAAACTGCTCCGGGATCACCAGCATCCGGTTTTCTGAGGACGAGAGAAACTCCCAGGAGTTCACTCATCAAGTATGTAAAAGTCAAGTCGGCCAGCTAGAGAAACTCTCAGGATTTATTTCTATCCGATATGGATCACTAGAAGCCCTTTGTTCTCTCTAAAGAAAGAAAATAAAACTAAAATAAATCAGAAGAGAAGGAGACGTCCATCCTCCTGAGGACACGAAGCAAAACTGGCAGGTGTGAGGTGGGAGGGGTTATGTCCTTAAAGTGACAGGCTTTTTGTTTGCCTAGTGTCCATTTCTCCTACAGGCAGCAGCATAACCCTAGGTCTCAGAGCTGTGTCCCTCGATGGACAATAGAGAAAAAACTGGAGCATGCTGGGAGTAGTTATACTAGGTGCTGACTTAGTTTTGTTTCCACAGTGTCTCAGAATTACTTTGCCCGATGTCCCTTAATAAAACGATTAGGAAAGTCCTGTTTTGGGAAATACCTCACCTGTCCATGATGCTTGGCAGTGCAGTGGACATTCCTCTCTGGGATCTCGGTATCCGAGCAGGGCGACGAATGTTAAACGATCCGCTAAAGACAAAGTTTGTAGTAAGTGGAGTAATTGCACTTGAAGTTTTTCAGCCGAGCATAACTGGCCAGTATAGCACACCATCATTCACCATCCAATTAAAGTGAACTCTGAGGGCAAAGGACTAGTGGTCTCTCTGAAGCCGATCTTTACCCATTACTGACTTGCCATGCAATCTGCACTCTGTCTCAAGGCGGCCATCTTGGTAGAGGCAGGGCTTTGCTTCCTCATGTCAGAGTCTCCAGCAGTGAGCAGCACGATAGCGGCATCACATCACTCAATCTCCTAAGTCTAGCAGTTAGAGGGAGCAGTGCCTTGGATCTCACACTGGAGATATACAGCTATGAAGGTGTAGGCACAGGAGTGCCCATGCACACTCACATATCAGGAAACACACTGCAATTGTTCTGGAGGAATTCCAACTGAGAAAGCGACACTTATGGATGTGTGCATCTCCTGGTCCTCCTCTATGCTCAGTGGTTCCTTCTGCTGACCTCCACATTATAGTGCTACAGGGGACACACAAGATTGACGCTCCTGGAGTTTCTCAGCACATTTCAGAGAAAGATTTCTCTTCAACAGAGCCGCTTTTAGCCGTGCAGATAGCAGGACAAGAAGGTGTATCATCTCTTCTATTTACCCGACAGGTTTAGGGACATTTCATACAAACCAATATGTAGCAGAGATATGCAGCAGCTAAAGGTCTCTTCGCTGATAATCTTCACCGATGTGCAGCTGCAGCAAAGCTGATCTCTGTAGCTACACCAGCAACTGCCCTGGACCACGTACCAGCTGCTGAAGCCTTAGATTATGTAGCCCCAAAAATTCAGCTGGCATTGAAGTGACACAAATCTTTACAATTACACCCCATTCACACTGAGCGACATGGATATTGCGCGTTTTTCCACGCTGAGCGGCTTTGAGCTACATTGCGCGATATTGAGCAACAGTGCACATTTTATCGCGCTACATAGCGCGTTTCTTGGCTGGGACTTCGTCGCTGCTACATTGGGCTGTAACCAATCAACAGCGATCTGCAAAAGGGACCCTTCTGTAACGCGATGTCGCCGGTAAGGAGCGATTTTTGCGCGACACTGTAGAGTCTATTGGAGCCGAATCGTGTGACATCCGTGCATAAAAGGGTCATGTACGAGCGACAAGCTACAGCGACGAGCTACAGTCGACATTGAGCTGTGAGATGTGAACAACTCCATTGAAATGCATTGGACAAGCTACACAGAGCGACAGCGCACGGAAATATGCGCGATTTCGCGGCAAAAATCTCGCGATAAACCGCTTCGTGTGAATGGGGTATTAAGGAGTCATAGCTGAGAGCGATTCCATAGCTGCTACAAATCACTCCACTTGCATGGTCCTTAGTGTGAGCAGCATTCAGGGGAGGTCATTGCTCTTCACCAAAAACTTTCAGTGCCGCTCTCTGTGCTAAAATCAAATGTATCTGAAAACAACATTACAGTACAAAAACCACACACAATGTCAAGGGATGTAAATGACTAATAAATAAATCCTTTCCACACCTCATATCGAAATCAGAGTCTGACCCATCATCCTGTCCTCTTGCTGGACTTGAAGCTTCGCTCCTTTCTTGCAGCATGGTGGAGGTCAGTATTGGTGTGTCTCTACGCTCCTCTTCACCCACAACAGTGCTGGAATCTTGTAAATTATCTGTTTCAAAACACACAAAAACCTTCACAATGACCCATTGCCGAGTGCTTTCACCTTCACAGCTGGTCAGCATGGTAGAATAGGAGGCTCGCTGTAGAAACATATTTCAGACGCACAATTCCATCTTGATGATCATTTATTCTTATAGTGGCAAGGGAGCGCCGGCATGGTGAGAAAGATAGGTTCAGGAGGTGACCTTTACAGACACTGTTGCTTGCATCAAGAGCCACCAAACCTTACTCATTTCCTCTGGGTATATTATTGGGTTTACAAGGGATGCACCAATTCCGATACTACGGTAGTATCGGTGCCGAGTATTCGTAGTCGCCCAAATACTCCGATACCTAGCCTAATACTTAAGCTTCGGATATCAGGAAGCCAGGCAGCCTGATTGGCCAGGAAGCCGGGCAGTGTGTAATAACTCGCTGCCCAGCTTCACGGTTAGTCGGGAAGCTGGCCAATCAGGAAACCGGGCGCTGTGTAATGACACGGTGCCAGGCTTTCCGATTGGCCAGGAAGCCGGCTTCATGCTTCCTCGTCACGAGGGAGAAAGCCGGGTGCCGCAAGGCATGGAGACGGCTTCCCTGGTAATCGGGAACCCAGGTGGTGAGTCTTTACACACCACCCGGCTAGTCAGGAAGCCAGGTGGCGATTCATTACATGCCGCCTGGCTTCCTTAATGGGACTTCCAGTATCGGTATCGGCAAGTACTAGGAAAAAAATATATATCGGTACTCGATGGCGGAAAACTGGTATTGGTGCATCCCTAGTGTTTACAATAGAACCGTTTCCTTTAACTGGCCCCTCATAGGTAGGTGGTTTCTAATGTGTCTGGCTGTCCTGTGTGGTTGGTCATGAAGAATTAATATGTATATTATATTCTGAATTAAGAAGGTAATGCTGCATTGTGCAGTACACCTAGTGGTTGGCATGCTGGGTTTCAGGACTATTAATGGCTCATTCACATGGCTGTGCAGGGCAGTACACCACCCAGATCAGCACATTTCTGTGATGGTTATGGCCACATGTTTACGATCAGCTGTGGGCAGGAAACCTGTACAAATCAATGACAGGCGGACACTGTCTGTGGCTGTTTGCATGTAAATCGCTGAAATAGCAATTACATTGTACATAACATTCTCCATTCTGGTCCCCATTTATACTCCACACTGCTCCACTCTGAACACTGTACTCGATGTTATAAAATCCATACAGATTATCATCACCTCTGTAGTTATTTGCACCACTCGGATTTCCGGAGTAGTTTTTTTAACCTTACATTTTATCTTACCCTTAGCGGTTCTCCTCTTCTTTCTGTGTGGCGATACCCTGGGCATTCTGGCTGACCTCCTGTCTTTTGCTCTGCGTCTGCTGGCGTGGCCGGGAGTGGCGGTTCCTGATTCATTGTCTGTACTTAGAGATTTCTTGTAGGCGTGAAGGGAAGCCCAGAGTCCACTGTTCTCATCACCGTACTCATGATCAGAAGGGATGCACTGCTTACAGGTCTCATCAAAGTACTGCAGACTGCAAATGATGGCTGAATCAGACATAAGTACTACACATAATAATGTATGAGCAGATGAAATAAGAACAAAGTATCATTTGTAGAATGAGCACATCTCATAACATTAGGCTAGAAAACCTAAGTCCCTGCTTGTGAATGACACATTTCATACTGTCCCCATGCCTTTAAATGCAGGTACAAGTTTGAAAAGTTTTTCCCCTATACAGTTGTTGGTCTGAATCTGGCAAATAACATGTAGTCTGGATGATACACCTAAGAAGCTGCTTACTCCACACAACTAGCTAAAACCCAACCAAAGCTTTGCCCATGCAATTGAAAACAACTCCAGTCTGGCCAGGCTCATAGTATGGCCTCCTGTATCTCTTTGTGACCAAAAACTAGCATTGGCTAAAGCTGTGGTATTAACCCCTTCGTGACTGAGCTAGCTTTCAGTTTCCGTTCATAAATGACTGACGCGCTTTTTACATTTTTGCTCTGCGATTCTTACACAGCAGTAATATACTTTCTTACTAAATGTACCCACACATATTATATATTGTTTTTTTTTAGAGGACAGATAAGCGAGGAGCATCTGTATAGCCCTAACGACTTACCTGTTTTGCGACCACTCGCACTTACGACCGTCCTCCGAGCGACCTCGCGCGTCAGTGCCAATGCGACGTGTCGCCAGGGGAAGTGACGTCCTCCGATCTTCGCTGCGGGTCCCGGTGAGTATTTTCATTGCCTGATGTACAGTACACTGTTCGGTACTGTACATCTGCAACGCTATACAGTACTGTACTAATACAGTACTGTATAGAGTTCCTCGCTTAACGACCAATTCGTTTAACGACCTGGTCGTAGGAACGGAACTCGGTTGTTAAGTGAGGAATACCTGTATAATTATATCAAACATGTGTACCTAACGCCTCACTTGAATAAAATAAATGAGGAAAAAACTAGAAAACACTTTTCACAAGTTTTGACTATTATTTTTGTTTTAGACATTTTTTATAATAATTATAGTATACAAAATATATTATATATCATTTTTATTTTCCTATTTTTTTTACACTTTGTAAAAAGAAAAAAGGAAAAAAAAACAACTTTTTTAATTTTTGGTTATTATTAGGCTGCTCCAAACTTAGGAACATCTAATAATAACCTTAGACACTGATCCTGACAGCCTGTCAGATCTCACTAAGGGTCTGTTCACACGACGTCCGTTTTCTGTGCTGACCTGATCCGTACGCTCCTGCACTAAAAATGCATCCCAATGTGTTTTATGGGCTACAGTTCTCACGTGCGCAGTCCGTTCAGGTTACGACAGAAAAATACTGCATGTACGGTCAGGAAACGGTCCGGAAACGCAAAGCGCGTCAAAAACGCACTGCACTGCAGCTAACATACTGACAGCCCCACTGCAGCAAAAAAAAAAAATATATATATTTTTTTAACTGGAACGCATCAAAAACACGTAGCACCGCGTCTGCAGATCCGCACCTGATCCGGACCTGAAACTCATGTGAACAGTCCCTAAAGGTCTTTGATCCTGCTCAGACGATCAGAAGTAATACATTTCAGGCTATCGAGCTGTCAAAATAAATAGCAGAGAGGTGACTGACTCTGCTACCTCTCTGCTATTTTCAGCTGTCAAATACGGGATTGCTATTTAGCGCTCCTGTATTTTTATGTAATGGCTTCATTCTTTCATTAATGAATGAAAGAAAGAAGCTTTTACAAAAGCTTAACTATTTCATGAATGAATGCCTCAATACTGACCCATCCATCAATGACTGGTAACCGCTGAAAATCAGCGTACGATACAGTGTACGTCTCCCGTCACGAAGGGGTTAATATAGTAAAATAATTTAATATAAAGGCAAAATTTACTCACAGAACCCTTTTGTCCTGCTTGAGAAGTTTGTGTGAAAATTCGCTCAGCACATCGAGAAAGAGCAGGTTCTGGGAGGACCAAGTGGTATCTGTGGAGGCCCGCAGACAAAACTTAATACCCTCTCTATTAAGGGAACAGAGAAGAGAAAAGCATCAGGAGCGGATAAAGATCGGATTTATTTATTACAGGCATTTATATAGTGCTTTATATACTGTACAGTCACATCAGTCCCTGCCTTCAAGGAGCTTACAATCAAAGGTCCCAATCTCACATGCGCACCCATAAGACCAATTTAGGCCCCATTCACACTGAGCGACATGAAAATCGCGCGACTTTGAGCGATATTGAGCGACGTGTCGCGCAACTTTTTCCTATTGGGCTGTATGCAATCAGGAGCAATATCGCTCAAAATCGCTCTAAAAAAGGGTCATGTAGGAGCGACAAGCTACCAGCGACGAGCTACAAGCGATATTGAGCGATATTGAGCGACATTGAGCTGTGAGATGTGAACAGCTCCATTGAAATGTATTGGAAAAGCTACATAGAGTGATATCGCGCGGAAATATGAGCGATAAATCGCTCAGTGTGAACGGGGCCTAAGACAGGAGCCAGTTTAACCTTCCAGAAGGTATAACATTTATTTCAAACATAATCTGTCCCTGATGTTGTTAATAAATTAAATCTAAATACTGGGACAGAAAGTAAGGGAATATATAAAATGTTCGTCTGTCACCAGAACCAGAATGGAAGTCTTCCATTGCAGGCACTTGTCCTAACACCAGTGGCAATGGTCATAGGACAAGTGCCCCCAATGGAAGACTTCCATTCCATTCTGGTGACAGATGGACATTTTACATATTGCTTGACTTTCTGTCCCAGTGGCAATGGTCACCATGACAAACAGAGATGGTGAATCTCCCCAGTGAGGACACAGTCAGCAATAAAAAGCTGGCAGCTGTTCTAAAAATATGTTTTGCCTCCAGCTGTGGTGGAACTACAAATCCCATGAGGCATTGCAAGATTCTCACAGACATGACTCCCGAAGAGATGCATCATGGGATTTGTAGTTTCACCACAGCTGGAGGGCATGAGGGTTCCTCTAGATACACTTCAAAAGGATTCCAGACAGAGGTCTAAAACGCCCTTTAGAATTCCGGCGACACTCATGAATACAATTTGAATACAATTTTCAGCCAAATCTAGGAGGAGAAGGTGTAGAAGTTCGCTTACGCCCCCTGCATTCCGAGTCAGCTATTGGACAGCGATTTTGTTCATAAAATCTAGACAACTCCTCCTTAGATAATGCAGGAGAGGGCCACATCCGAGGGAGCCACATCTGAGGGAGCTTTGGAAGACTCGGAGGAGTGTGTGGACTCAAGCAGAGGACAACGATTCAGGCTATCGGCATCCGGGCCGGGAGCTGTTAGTGGATCATGAGCTGGAGAGGCCCACGGGACTGCTCCCTTTGCTTCTGGGATCCGACATGAAGCAGGTAGGTAGAAAATCGTTGCTTTTTGAGTTCAGATTCACATTATTTTCATACAATTTTCTCTGCAGATGGTAAAATCCTGGGACAGATTCCCCGTACTCTGCATGTTATTACTGATTTGTGGCAGTAACTGGTAAGAGCAGCAAGCGAGCCATGTAAAAATGAGCACTGACAAGTCAAACACATATCTCTGGCAATACTGTTACCCCTCAGCCATTCATATTTTGTCTACACAACACAATGCCATTAAGGCTGAGTTGCTTGTTTGCTACAGTCTGGGAATCAGCAGTAAGCTTATAGCGATCGCTCTCACTTGTGTAGGAGTATGATATCCTGTCGATTTCTCAACTGATCTGGCCCCAACAGAAGAGCGAATCGTCTTGCAAGGTCTCGAATCTCAAGGAAAGAATTTGCGAAGCGTCTGTCAGGAGAATCCTCCTCTAAACAGAACCCTGTATACGACTGCAGGAAAATAAATGTTTAGTACACACATACTTCCTTTTCAGGTCAGAACTTGAAAGCTGCATTTGAACCGTATTCTTTTTCTGAGCTTTACATTTGTTAAAGTCAATTATAAAAAAAACTTTTAAGACAACCTTGCATTTTATTTGGTTCTTTCTGCCCCTTCTTTAATAACCTGGCTGGCTATTCTTTATCTGTGCTTCGGTTTTACAGTGCAACCGAGACTCATTCCTAAGTGGACGGATTGTGTAATGGCATTTGTTTTATAACCGGTCTGTGTAGCTTTAAAGAAGCTCCACAAAAACCTTTGCTGCAAATCACCTCTGGGAATGTTTCTGCAGCTACAGCATTATCTCCTGAACAAAATAGCCGAGCAGCAGACAGGCTCATTCTGTCCCTGAAGCGTCAGATCGGAGACAGTTCATTCAATTATCCTGTGCTGAGAAGTCAATTTCCCTGAGCCGCTCAGGGTGGACGGCCTCGGTGAACAGATGGCCTTGTGGAAGGTACAGATGTTGCCATGTAATACCCGCTGTATGCTACCCATCTTGTCCAATTTGTATTGTTATCTAACAATCTACACTGACATCAAATATACATTTGCATTTATATCTTAAATTATTTAATTTTCACTCTATTAGAGAATTTACAATTTAATTTGGTACCAAAGAACATTGCATTTGTACATACAGCGTAATTATTAAGATCATGATAAGAAATCAAATAGGATTTTTGTACCTACTGTAAAATTCATTTCTTGGAGTCCATTGAGGGACATGGGAACGCAAGGGTTATACTGCTGCAGACAGGAGTCGTCGGGCCTCTGGCAAGAGACACTGCAAGCCAACCAAGGGTTGTTAGTGGATTGTAAGCTGGAAGGTTCGCTAGGACTACTTGCCACGTGCCAATGATCTGACATACTGCAGGTATTAGGATCCCACAAGGGTTACTGACAAACCAGCTGCAAGAGCAGGGAGAGTTATCTGGCAATCTGTAATACTGTCAGTGCAGGAACCCTAGTCTGATCCTGGCCGAGGAACATGGCAGCAGTGGTGTGCTTCAGTGAAGGCGGGGGAAGCAGTAAGGGTACATGTATGCATGTGAGGAGAAGGGAGTGGTGCCTGCGCCCAATTTACAGTAGAAGGAGAGCTAGGTAGACTCAGTAAAATGGCGCCACAAAACTCCTCAAGGGTACGTAGCTGGCTCCGCAACATGTTAACCCCAGAGGAAATGAGCACCACTGTTGCTCCTAAGAGGGCCAAAGCCCCTGGACTTACCGCAGTGCTGGCCCAGAAGGCATCATGCGTAAAAAGCAGAGCCATACAGGAATGTCAGATAGGGCCCAGCAAACAATTACCCCACCCATGGCCCTGAATAGCGCCCTGCTGTTGACTGACACAGTACATGGAGAGATCTGGAAAGCACAAAAAGTAGAGCCCTGTGCCCGAATGGTCACATTAAAGGCCAGCCATACATCTACCTGTCAGCGGGGGCCAGGTACAACTTCTGAGGCCACGTCGAGGGCCAACCCATCTGGAAAACTGCATCCTGGAGCACCCTTGGCTCCAGTATATGAAGAAACTTGCAAAAAAATCTTCTCCGTAAAAGCAACAAGAAGTGAAATGGTGAAGCTTTCCCCAGAGGGAAGAAGAGATCCATTCTCCTAGGACACTAGCAAAAAACTAAGGCATCATGGGAGTGGGAAAGGTTTACTTGCATGGCTGACTTTTTTTTTGTTTTGGAATCCTCCTGTCTTGTGTCCCTTAATGAACTATAAAGAAAATACAATTTACTTAATCGTCCATTGAAAGACACAGGAAGTGTCAGAACATAAAAATGCTGGGCAACGGAGTGGTGAGCAACAGCAAACAAAATGCTTCACAGGTCCACAAATAAAACCAGCAAAACTGGGGACTGCCTACAGCTCAAAGAGCTTCCTGAAGGACCATACACCTAAAGCTGCCACCAAACGACAACTCAAATATGAGAAACGGTAGCCTAATGCCAAGTTGCCCAAGAGGCACTTAGTTAGGTGTGTCTTGACAGACCAGAGTGGCAACCGATCCTTAAAATTATAAGCTTAAATGATGGTCTGTATGGGCCACCAAGGAATGGTTGAATGAGAAGCTGATTCACATTTACGGAGACCATCAGTAATGACGAAGTGTCAGACTTTCTGAAGGAAGCAGTGGCTACGAGATAAACGCTCATTCAAGCAATGGAGGTAGATCTTCTGATAACCCGGAGCTGGACGGGACGGAAGAGCAATATCCTGGTGAAAGGTTGAAACTACCTTAGACAGGAAGGAAGTTCTGGGCCCCAACAACACCTTGTGCAGGACCAGAAAGGGTCCTTTATAGGATTAGGCCCCCAGATCAGACACATGCCATACAGAGGTGATGGCAACAAGAAAGACATCCCTGTAAGTGAGAGTGGAAAGGGGGAATAAGCCCCATAGGTTAAAAAGTTAGAGAACCAAATTCAGATGCCACTGATTTACAGGGAAGCAAACATAGAAGTCAAAATGGGAGACACCTTGCACAAGGGTCTAGATCAGAATGGGAGGCCAGCAGTCTCTGGAACATGATCGCAAGAGAAGACCCCGACTCCAAAGTATGCTCTCCACATGTAGAGAAGTAGGTTTCCTGATGTTTAGCATTGTGGGAATAACAGATTCAGAGATGCAGCCGTCCCTCAGAACCTAGGTTTCAACAGCCTTGCTTTTAAAATTAGTGACCCCTGAATCAGGGTGATAAATCAGTCCTCGATACAGAAGGTCCGGATAAGCTGGAAAAGCCCAGGGAGCATCTGACAGGACTCTCACCAGGTCAGATGGCCACATCCACCTGGGCCTCAGGAGAGAAAAATGGTAGATCAGGGTGTACTGATCCCATGGATCTGCTTCTGCTAAATGATCCCTACACGGAGACAAAGCTGTCACCCGTGATACAGGTCCTGAAACACCTCTGGGTGTCCGGGTGACCACTCCCCCGAGTCCAGGCGCTGCCTATTGAGTAGGTCTGCCTGCCGATTCTCTGTGCCTGGGAGGTAAACAGAGGACAAGGCTAGAACATGAAGTCCTACCCCGTACAGGATGCACTCTACCTCTCTTGCTGTGGCAAGATCTCTGGATAGTTGAGGTATGCCACTACCATGGTGCTGTTCGACTGAACATGGACCTCCCACCTAAGAGGTCCAGCATTGCAGTATAGCAATGTTTATCACAAGGCGAGATTCTTCTGCTGACCAAGTCTCCTGAATGGAGTAATGTCCAACAGGCTGGCATCTGTCATGAAAATCTTCTAAAAAAAACAAAGAAAAAAAGACTTCCCTAATACCAGAGCCAAATTCCTGAACCACCGAGCTAGGGATAGCCTCGTTCTTGGTGACAACCTAATCAGCCTGTTTAGAGACAGGAGAGATTCGCCCCATGAGAACAGGATATTGCAATGTGGATGCCTGGAGTGAAATTGAGTAAATGGAACCACCTCACAGGAGGCTACGTGAGTCCAAGTCTCTTCTGCAGGAGAATCAAACATTCAGGGCATTGAGGTCCAAAATCGGGCATATGCAAGGGCAAGGTGCCTATTGGACACGCATTACAGGGCCAATTTTAGACAGGAACCAATGTCTACCAATGTGGGAAGAAACCGGAGTACCCGGAAGAAGCCCACACAAGCCCATGGAGAACATGCAAACTCCATGCAGATAGTGTCCTGACCGGAATTTGAACCAGGGACCCCAGTGCTGCATGGCAGAAGAGCTAAATACTAAGCAACCACTTCTGGGAAATTTCAAGCACACAGTTCATGATGGACAAACAAAATATCAACAGATCCTGGAGGCTTTTTGCCAAGAAGAATGGACAGCTTTACCATATGAGAAATTAAAGGGCCTCATTCACAGCCATCACACTAGACTACAAGCAAGCCTTGATGTTTCTAAAGTTGACAATGCACAATAATAATAATAATAACAACGAATAGCATGCAAACTTTTTAACAGGACCATTTTATTATGTTCCTTTATTGTTGTAGTTTGTTTAATGATTGTGCTATTATGTGATGACTCCTAGTTTAATCTGAATCATATTAAAATAAATCTCTTCAGTCTGATCACTTTAAAAAAAAAAAAAAAGGTCAACATCTACAAATTCTGCCAGGGTTATGTGATATTATAAACACAACTGTATACGAGCTGTTTTATGGCTACATGACTTCTTGGTGCCTTTAAATTGTACAGGAGAAACATTATTGTTAGACCTCGATACCTGGGTAAGACTCAGAAGGATGGTCCTGGTGCTCTCCTCTTTGCTCACTGAACGGGATCTGTGAAGGGTTTCCTTTATGATGTCCCCATAATGCACATAATACTAAAAAGGAGAAAAAGAAGAAAAGATTTCATGTGAAAAGATGACATCCTATGAGTGGCTGATTGTACAAACACTTGATAAAGAAGTCCATATATAATAACTGACATTTCAGCAACTGGTGGACCGGTAGGCTAAATCCTTTATAGTAAGAGCACAAAGAGTTTAACTCTCCCCATAATGTAAGGCTCCCCCCCCATCACACATTTGCAATCCTGTCGCTAGCAAAAGCTCACCAGCGGCTGGATCACCAAGAGGGTTATTCACAAAGCTAGCCGAAGGATCAGCTGTAGCTCCGGCTGGCCGAGCAAAACCCGAAGCGGGGCGAATGACCGGCCCTCGCAACTGACAGCCGGGCGGAGCCAACCGTGATCTCACGACTGGCTCCGCCCAGTTGCAATGACAGATCAGCATCCGCCCAGTTGTTATTCTTTGGCCGGACCTGCTAGAAGACTCTAGCAGATCCTGGCCAATAGGAAACAGTTTGGGGGGGGGGCTAGCTGTCACTCCCAGCTCCGCCCAATTGTCTTTCTTTTTTCAATAATCTTAAATTGTTTTCTTGCTTGTTTAAAATCTTTATTTTTTAAAATGGATCATTCATTTACATTTCTAAACAAATGTTTCTACTTTTTTCACTGTTTTTCTATTCTGCTCGGTACCAAGGAGGTACTGAGCAGAATAGCTGAGCCGCATGCCCAGCTCGGCGGCATTCGGCTATTCACTCACTGCCGTTAGGCCCCTACGAGAATAGGCTGAATGGCAGCGAGTAGCCTGCCGGAGGTTCAGCTCGGTGAATCCAGATGTCGGATCGAACTCCTTCACTTCGGCTCATTCAAACATGCTTAGCATGTTCGGCTGAACCGAAGCCAGCCCCAGCTGTACAAGCCCAAAGTGAATAGCCGAACAGCGTTCGGCTCACTTCACTTCAGGTGGGTTACTCACTCGGCTGCTTTGTGAATAACCCTCTAAAAGTTCATGGAGCACACTCACTCGCTTTGTATGCGTCTCTCCCTCACTGGCTGCAAGACATAGCTGTCATGAATGTAAGTCACCAGTGAAACATGAAACTCTTGATTACAGAGCCAGCAAAGAAAGGACATATGCAAGCACGTGAGTAATTAACTGCCTGCCTGCCTGCCTGCGTCCTTCACAGAGGTCCTGCAACTTTCAACTAATCACTGGCAACAGGATCGCAAGTGTGCTGGCGTCACATAAACAATACAACATAGCAGAGCCGGCCAGGAAAAGCCAATGAGGCAAGTCAGTGGTTCAGAAACCCAGAATCCGTCTACCATAAAGTAAAATGTCAGTTTTGAGGAATCTGAAAATGTAACCCTTTACTTGCCATTTTTGTAGTGGTTATGGCAGAACAGAATTGTCTGCAGCATTTCAGGTCATCAATCCTTTAGGCAGTTAACCACCTTCGTGTCTATAAAAACTTACTTTAAAGCAGAATTAGAAAAGGTTTTATTTTTAGGGCTGCGGAAATTAACGATTAATTTCTCGATTAATCGTAAATTTTTTTGATCGATCAAAAATTATTTTGCTCGGTACTCACCTCTCCGCCGGCTTCCGGGAGTTCCGTCGAAGATTCCGTGACGTCACGGACATCGACGTCACCGGACTTCTCCCCCCTTCCCCAAGTGGCTCCGTTCCCTAACGAAGGGGGAGGAGTCCGCTGCCATCGATGTCCGTGACGTCACCGGACTCCTCCCCCCTTTCCTCTCTACAACACGGGGGCCTCTCCACGGAAACTGACATCACGGGGCCTCTGTACGGAGACTCGCAATACGGGGGCCTCTCTACAACACAGGGGCCTCTCTACGGAGACTCACAACACGGGCTGAAACAAACAAACAAAAAACAACTTCCATTAATCTGCATAGAGTAGAGCTAGTGTTAGAAACCAAGGTTCTAATAATTAAAGAGAACCTGTCGTTTGAATCCATTCAGGTCTGCTTAGATAGCTGCCACCTCAGCTGCAGATGCCTTACACTCCATATAATGAAATAACCTGTACTCGGGGCAGCAGGTACCCCCTGTGCTCTCTGCCCCTGCCGCACACCTCACCGTTTTGTTGCATGTTTCCTGAAGCACAGTGACGCTCAACAAGAAGAATCCCAATATTTTCAGTGGTGCCCATTCACACCTAAGCATTATATTTATTGTAGCTTGAAGATGGAATAGGTACATGAGCTTCTAGGGCAGTTCTTGACCCCATAGATTTTAAAAGGAGTGCACGATTTTTGCACCTAACAAGTGTCTGGTCCTGCTATTAACTAGCTATCAATTGGTTAAAAAAAAAAAGAAGAAGTGCACTCTATTTAATCGATTTTTTTTTTTTTCCGATTAATCGCACATTTTAATCAGTAACAGCCCCTAGTTTGTTTTTTTTAGGAAAGAGACTTTGCAGGTCTCTTCTGCTAAAACCTGTACCTGCTTGGGATTTTTTTTGTAACTTTCGTTCTACTTTAAAAAGATGCCCAGGATCCTGGAAATTCATATGCGAGTAATCAGCAGCTGAACAGCCTCCAATCACAACTTAAAAAAGCCTCTAATAGTTGTGGATGCAAGTTCATGCCAAACAGTTTCATGAGCATTACCTAATAAAAGAGAAACTGTAATTTTGGATCACACAGGCCTCTGATTTCTGACCTTTACATAATACTTGAAGATTTCACTTGCAAAGTGCAGCTCCAGAGTGTTGTACAGGATCAGCTTGCAGTAACCTGCCAACAAGGTGCGTCTGTTATGCAGCTCAGCGATTTGCTCGTTTTCATCTCCTGGGGAAAAAAAAACACAAGTTGCAGAACTTGGAGTAATTAAAAAAAAATAAAAAAGTGTAATAAAAAAATAAAAAGGGATATTGTTGTAAAATGAGTAGCTGTCCTGCCAGAAAACTGGTGTATATACCGAGGTATAACCGTTTATGGTGTAAAAGATGCTTTCTATAACCTGCACTGACCGGAGCGAGAAAAGTGTGCTGAACACTATATACTATAACCCTTGTGTGTGCTACACACAGGAACTCACAGGGCTTATTTACATATCTCCACCTGCTGCTCTTTAATGAGGTAAGGGGCACAGGAAGTCTTTAATATTTAGGTTATGCTGCCACCTACAGGAGAATTTGACATTGCCGAAACACAATATCTGTAGGCCAGATTGCATCACTTCCGGTCCCTGGGCTGTCAGTTCTGGGCTCCTGGAGCCCAGCTATAAGCTATTGAAGTGCGATCTGCACTTCAATAGCTTATTTCCAGTGTAAAGGTGACACTGGGGGTCTTTTGGACCCCCAGCATCACCTTTAAGAGTACCTGTCACCACCATCTGCTATCACATGGGGGGGCATGTAAGCCCCCTCATGTGATAGCAGTCAAAGTAAAGTAAAAAAATTAAAAAAAATAAAGTTTTTTAAATGAAATTTAAATAAATCTAATAATAAAATTTTTTTTTTAAAAGTCCCCCGCGCGTCGCCACGTAAACACGCGTCGGGTGCGCCTACGTATGAAAACGACGAACGCGCTACACATGTTGGGTATCGCCGCGCACGCCGGAGTGAGAGCAATAATTCTAGGGCCAGTATTTTGGGGTATCTCCAAATTGATGACCTGTGGGGCTTTTAAAGCGTCTTCTATGGACTTTTTGGGGTACTGGGGTTTTTTGCCGTTTTACGGATGCACGCAATTTGTAACCTGGGCATGTTGGGTATCGTTTTACTCGTTGTATCCTCATCTTTTATATTTAATTAAAAAAAATGGGTATTTTGTTGTGTTTTGGGGCATTTAATTAAATTTATAACTAAATATTGGGGTTTAATAAGGAGTTGCGCTAATATTGCGCAACATAAAAATTTGCAACTACCACCATTTTATTCTATAGGGTCTTGGTATTCAGAAAATATATAATGTTGGGGGGTTTTAAGTAATTTTCAGGCCTAAAATGTGGAATATAACATGGGTACAAAAAATGAAAAAAAGGCCTCAGTCATGAAGGGGTTAAACGTTTATTGGTCTGGTCCTTAAAACAGATGCATCCTCTACCAGTATGGTTGTTGCTTTGTTATGGCAGGACACCACTGGATGTAGACTGCTTCTTTACATCTCCTCAAACACCTACAAGGCTAGTAGGTGTTTTGGGTATTAAACATCTTGTCAGGGTGTTTTCGATTTCTGTAGATGAAGACTTGAAACAGAAGGTGTGAGGGAAAAGTATTTATGGTCTTAGGGGCTCTAAAAGGACCCAAGACTGGAAACAGCACAAGTAGAAGAACTAGGCCGGTCCTCTAGTTTTAGATGAATGCACGCTACATCATAAGAGCCAAAATGGCCAGTTTTAATAAATTCCCCCCTGTGACTCTTCCAGGATAAGCTCACTAGACAGAGATTAGAGTGGTACATAAATCAGACAGAGTCTGGTTTAGAAGCCGGTAAGGCTGTCAACTGGCTAATTTAAGAAAAGTGGCGCAATGGAGCTAAGAAAGAATTATCTGACAGGTCAGACTCTAGGAGGTGAGGACATCATGATTCCGGGGTGCAAATAGTCAGCTGCATTAATAGGCGTGCTGCAAGTGGCCCCGAAACTGTTACTATGGCACAATGGGACTGTCCCCTCCCAAGTCTTCAATCAGACAAGTTGCCTTAGGTACTTGTGAAACCCAGAAAGCCGGTACTGAGGGTCAGCTGTAGTAGGACGGTTATCCTTGACTACAATTAAGTTTACCAGTGACCAATCCTCTTGTAGGAGGCAGACAATCTCAGAGGCTTCTTGTGACCCTCAATAGACAAGAAGTTTTTTTTCTAGGAAGGTAATATTACTTTGGAGAGCCTCATTTTTGGATTGAAATACATTATTTTAGTCTGGTAACTTCCCAAATTCATTCAAGAACCTACAAAGGTTTGGGAGGGGGGCTAGAAATAGAAAGAATGATAAGAGTGTGTGAAGTCTGTGAATGGGAACACTTAAAATACCTTGTTGCTAGTTTGGAACATGTAGATGTCTTGGCACAATCTACTGGGCTCCACCAGATAATACAGACGTGCCTATTGGATGCCATGAAAATGCAGAACTCCAACATCCAGCAGATATTCGAGTGAGTTCAACTTGGGCGGCAGATTGTGCATATGCAGCCTATGAACCCAAGGTGTTCTAGGATGATGACAGTACGACTTGGCCTACCAAAAGGTGTTTTTAGCACCTACACTTAATAGGAACTAAAAGTTTGGTGAAAGTCCAAAAAACGATCTGGCTCTAGCGGGCATTGTTAGTGTTTAATGGTCATTTGCTTTGCCTTACCATATTGTCATCAGGGCAATGTCATCAAAGAGCAGAAACAGAATTATTTACAGAAAGAGAAACAAGAGGGCCTGTGGCAACGGGGCAAATTCAGCTTGGTACAAGATGCGTTTTATTCTGCATTTGACATCAGTTTAAAATGCTTTCAAGATCATTCAACGACAGGTGCTTTTGACCTGCATCTGACCTCGAGCTGCGTCCACATGCTTTGAGCTGCTTTTGTGTTCCTATTGACTTGTATGGGGAGGGAAGTAGCTCTTATATGAAGAAAAGCCAGACAACACAGGGCCTTGTATACATTTTAGATATACAAAATGATGGCACTGTAAAGAGATCAGATGTTTACATCCAGAATAATGTCATTATATACACAGGTCAGAGACATAGAGGTTTATATTTGGAGTCGGTCAGTGCTAATTTTTTTTAGGTTCCCTGTAGGAAAGCAATGCTTCATTTCATGAAACTTTTTGGTTTCTCTCCACCTAATAAACGGAACCTGTTAGAATGAACTATGTTAATGCCAACCTGTTTTAAAGCTACAAATGCTAGACTGTCATTCTCATCCTATGTATGTTACAGAACCTTTAAATCTGATCAGACTCACGAAGAAAGGTAGCAAGGACTGAAAATTCAGCAACATAACCTGGGTGAGACTGCTACCATATTTGAGTACTATTATTATACAGGATTTATATAGCGCCAACAGTTTGCGCTGAGCTGTACAATATAAGGAAGACATTACAATCACATTACAATTCAAGACAAGACGGTAAGGTATGTATCACCTTCTAGATCCGTGGCATTTGTGAACACATGATCGACAAGGAAGCCAGCGAGTTCAGCTTGCAGAGACTGGTCAGGTGTATAGACAAGTGGCTGTAGATAAGAGCGATCATCCCGGCTCAGGTGCTCATTAAAAACCACTAAGAGAGC